AGTTAGGACAGTAGGTGTCGAGAAAGGAAGACATGCCAATCTCAGACACTTTGATTATTGCTTCCAGTCGGTGTTTGTAGTCTACTGTCTTGTTCTTGTACAGCTTTGGCACAGCCTTGGGTCCGTACTTGAACGCCGGGCGACCAGGAGACTTCCGTCTTGCGATGATTGCATCAGCATTGTCGGCCATGCTCGCCAGAGTGATCACAGGGCTGCTTGCAGCTCGTCGCGCCAAAAAAACTCCGAAAAATATATTTTACCTCTATAAATGGATATTATATTAATGTAGAGAGTATTTATTTGATATAAGAGGTGTGCTTGCGCGCCAAGGGATTTCTGTACAACTTGATATTCCTTTGACAGGCAAAACTATTCTTTCTTGGAGGTGTCCAGAATATAAAAGGTGTCCAGAATAATGTAGTCAATTCATCGACTTTGCTTCGAACCTCGAACATGCGGCCTCGACGTGCTCCAGTAGACATGTTTGAAACCTACACCAGAACTACATGTTTAATCTGAAGGTTGGAAGGCACAACCTTCCTTCTCCCATGCGCTACTCTTGGCGAAACCGAGAACACCCGACCGTGTGAAAGGCAGCCCCCTGGACTTCCATATTCATTTGTGCATCGCGGGACCGTCGCACTTGAGGGACTTGCACGTAAGGGAAGGGGCTCAAGTTCAAACATACTCCAATCATGCCCACGACCAAGACACTTGAAAGAATTCCGATACCTGGTCGTCCTCCTCGACAAAGCCACCATGGTGCGATGTCACATATGGACTTCATTCCACTACCCACAACTAACGTGCTAGACACAAAATCCGAAGAGGAGCATCCATATAGACTGCGACACAACACTCGAGCGCTCACACCAGACCGTGTCGTAGCCAGCCACATGCTAGGCTCCATCGGACTTGGGGAAGGACGACAGGCACGAGTTGCCCATGGGGTAGAAACCGTGTCAGCACGAGCAACAGGCAGACGGCTTAGTGATCACGGGCTTCTCGTGGCCTTTGTCGTCGGGGAGACCACGGCCGTAGCCTGGACCGTCGTCTCTGGCGTCACGGGCTGCGTGGTGACAAGGGAGTTTGCTACCGCGTTCGCAGGCAGGAAGCCGAGCGAGCTTTTGCACGAGCTGTCGATCTGAATGGCACCGTTGAGGCACTTGACGGTAGTCTGATCTTGCTGAACGTGAAGGCAGGCGTTGACATTTCCAAATCCGGCTACATCTGTCAAAGACGTCGAAGGGACTTGCAGTCGTGAAGGGTGTGGCGGTGGTTGGTCGAGCACAATCGAAAGGGCTAACGAGCGGGGGGTAAAGTATGCAGCATCCCACATGATGCGAATGACACAAAAACGATCCGTTGCTAGAATTGGCAGCTTAGCGTTGGAAACAGCACTGCAAACAGACGAGATTTTGCCTTTAGGGAAAACCCAGACAAATCTTGCAGCATGAACATGGAGCGTCGAAAAGAAAAATGCACAAGGGGGAAGCGCCAACCATCGAAAATGCACGCGGATATTCGCGTAACCCAACACAAACTCACTATTACCGCGATGGCTCACGGACGTACCCCTTGCAATATCTGCGAATCCATTGTAGAAATTGGGGGCGCTAGGACGTCTTCGCCCAGTTCAGAGCCTTGGATCGGTATCGAACGCAACGGTGACGGGGTTGTGTGGCACGAAATCCACGACACGAAAGGTATTCAGTCCTTTGATGGAGAGACAAGATGGCAAGCCAGAATGTCGATTCAACCCCGAATATCCACCCACAAGGAATACGCAGGGCTACACGATGGATTGAGCTCGTGTACCTTGGCCTCTTTAGCTTTTGCTCGGGGACACGGGATATGACGTTTCTGCGACGCTGTAGCTATCGACAAGACATGGAGAAAAGAGAATTGGTGCTTTCGTTCGATGACACACACAATCAGTGAGGGGGAACAAGTGAATTGTGTACCGCCAGCCTTGGGAGTGGCGTGGCGGGTTAAAAGAGCTGGCAAAGGGAGCAAATTCAACACTGGCAGCCAACATGAGGGGTCGGATGCCGCGGGGCCACTGAATTTCCCAGCCAATCACCACGAAAACTCGGTTTCGGTTTCATCCGAAACCACCACGTTCCGCTAAACTCCATCCCCCCGCTTGGCACCATGGCCAAGTCCGCGTCTTTGGAATGGAGAGGCCGTGGGCAATAGTTGGTCAGCGCGAAGGTATTCCATTTCAAGGGCTGTCTAGGCCATTGAATTGGTGGTCGGCCTGGGCCGTGGTAACGAGTCCAGCCCTCCGCATTTGCGCGCCGTCGATGTTGTGGCACTCTCCAGCGAGGAGTTTGCCCTGTGCGTGCACTACATCCGCTTGAATATTATCCACGTTGATCCGGACGGTGACAGAGCAAGCATAAGTGGATGAGATGCCAACACTTTCCTCTCCATCGCCATACTCGCCCAATCTCATGTCTAAAGTGACCCCAACTATGCCGGGAAATGCCTACTGCTACTAGTTTCCGCAGCTGCTTTGCAATCGCTCTGGTTACTGTGTTCGCATGAAATTGTGGGGGGGAGGCTCCAAAACTTGCCTGTCGTGCATGGTCCCCATGACCCGACCTATGAGCCTGGTCTGCGAACGAATTGTTCCTGCTTTTCGCCATTCCTGCTTTTCGCCATTCCTGCTTTTGCAAAATCAGTTTGATTGGCTACAATTATCCGTAATCCGAATGTACTTCTTGCTTTTCGTGTCGTGAAAAGCATGGACTCTCCATCC